ACGCTGAGTTCTTCACCCACGCTGAGTTCTTCACCCACGCTGAGGTCTTCACCCACGCTGAGGTCTTCACCCACGCTGAGGTCTTCACCCACGCTGAGGTCTTCACCCACGCTGAGTTCTTCACCCACGCTGAGGTCTTCACCCACGCTGAGATCTTCACCCACGCTGAGGTCTTCACCCACGCTGAGATCTTCACCCACGCTGAGGTCTTCACCCACGCTGAGTTCTTCACCCACGCTGAGGTCTTCACCCACGCTGAGGTCTTCACCCACGCTGAGATCTTCACCCACGCTGAGGTCTTCACCCACGCTGAGGTCTTCACCCACGCTGAGGTCTTCACCCACGCTGAGGTCTTCACCCACGCTGAGGTCTTCACCCACGCTGAGTTCTTTGAAGTCGAGGCTAAAAACACTTTTTACAGCTGCCTACCAAGAAGCCTTTTAACTTGTTTTAGCACCTACCGTATTTACAATGTCGTTTTTAAACTATATTATATCTCTTTTATGTATGTTTTTATGAATCTGTTATTCCATTGGGTTTATTTATTGTGTTTCTTTCTGTTGCCTTACTATTAAGTGTTATTGATCATGTAAAGCACTTTGAATGGCCTCTGCGTCTGAAATGTGCTCTATAAATAAACGTACCTTACCTTTAGTTACTTTACAGATGTGGATGAATGATGTGAAATATAATCAAGTGTTAAATCAGACTTTAGTTCCACCTGGAGTAAATCCACAAGCTACCCTGCAGTATACAAAGTCATTCAAACTAGCTGCACCTTTACCAGCTTTGAGAACACTTTCATGATCAATCATTATAAAAGATATCATATATATTATTCTGAAATGGACCAATCTGCACAATGAATACTTTTACTGTCGCTACTTTCACTATATTTTGATGAGAATACTTTTCTACTTTCACTTGAGGAACATTTTGAATGCAGGACTTTTACTGAAACAGAGTATTCCTACACTCTGGTACTTCTACTTTTACTCAAGTACAAGACCTGAGTACTTCTACTTTTACTCAAGTACAAGATCTGAGTACTTATACTTTAACTCAAGAACAAGATCACAGTACTTCTACTTTAACTCAAGTACAAGATCTGAGTACTTCTACTTTTACTCAAGTACAAGATCTGAGTACTTCTACTTTAACTCAAGTACAAGATCTGAGTACTTCTACTTTTACTCAAGTACAAGACCTGAGTACTTATACTTTTACTGAAGTACAAGACCTGAGTACTTCTACTTTTACTCAAGTACAAGATCTGAGTACTTCTACTTTTACTCAAGTACAAGACCTGAGTACTTCTACTTTAACTCAAGTACAAGATCTGAGTACTTCTACTTTTACTCAAGTACAAGACCTGAGTACTTCTACTTTAACTCAAGTACAAGATCTGAGTACTTCTACTTTTACTCAAGTGCAACATCTGAGTACTTCTACATTTACTCAAGTACAAGATCTGAGTACTTCTACTTTTACTCAAGTACAAGATCTGAGTACTTCTACTTTTACTCAAGTACAACATCTGAGTACTTCTACTTTTAGCTAAATACCAGATCTGAGTACTTCTACTTTGAGCTAAATACCAGATCTGAGTACTTCTACTTTTAGCTAAATACAAGATCTGAGTACTTCTACTTTGAGCTAAATACAAGATCTGAGTACTTCTACTTTGAGCTAAATACCAGATCTGAGTACTTCTACTTTGAGCTAAATACCAGATCTGAGTACTTCTACTTTTAGCTAAATACAAGATCTGAGTACTTCTACTTTGAGCTAAATACCAGATCTGAGTACTTCTACTTTGAGCTAAATACCAGATCTGAGTACTTCTACTTTGAGCTAAATACCACATCTGAGTACTCCTCCTCTGTTTACTGTAGTACTGAACTCTTCGACTCCCTGACCGCAGCAAAATAAATCTCATACAGATTTGTTACAACACAACAATGTGATATTTCATAAATAAACACAATAGCCCTGATTGAAACTTCCGAGGCTCCGTCTGACCGTGCGTCATGTGTTCAGCCCACAGTGTTTTCATCAGACGGCAGATATAAATACAACAGAGTGAGAGTGGAGTACACAATACCTCCGTCTGAGGATATAAATACCAGCGAGAAGGTGTTTCCCTGCAGTTTGAGATGTGAGAACAACACGGGGGAAAGGAAGGAGAGAGGGATGTATTAAAGGAGAGAGGGAGAGAGGGAGAGAGGGATGTATTAAAGGAGAGAGGGAGAGAGGGAGAGAGGGAGAGAGGGAGAGAGGGAGGAGGAATGTGAGTTAAAGGACAGAAATAGGACAATAAAGCCGAAGTAATTACCGAGGCTTTATTCCACAATGCATCGAAAATACTCCGTACAGCACTGTGAACTGTTTGAGTGCATTTATTACTTTCAAGTAGTGATACAAATCAGATCAATCACGTGCACTGAGACATGAAAGTGAAATGCACAACAGAAAATGTATTTTAGAGTCGTTATAAACACAGATACACATCGATTCCTTCCTGCAGCGATCAGGCTGAACAACAACCAAACACAGACTGGAATATGTGCAATAACAATATAAAATATAAAACTTTGTGAAATATACCCTACAGCAATTACACGTTTATTACCATGCTGTACATATCTGCTATTTCGTTTTTTACTTATTGTGTTATTGACACGGATGCCAAGTATCGATATTTTATTATATAAACTTTACGTTAAGACATGTATACAATTGCAATGAAAGTAACACAAACAATGCCATCTCCTTTTCAGGTTCAAAGAACACAAGTTGTGTTATTCACATAAACTATTCACATTGCAAATACATGTTTTAACCAGGAAGGGAAGACGGACGTGGATATGAGCCATGTGATTTGCAATATCGCAATATATCGTATCGCAATACTTAGCATATCGTAGAATCGCGATAGTATCGCAGAATCGCGATAGTATCGTATCGTGGCTTAAGTATCGCGATAGTATCGTGGAGAACCTGGTGACCCCCCCCCCCCCTACTATCTGCTGTTGTAATCATGTAAATGTCCTCGTTGCGGGAAAACTAAAGGATTTCTGATTCTGATTCTGAAGAAGAGCTGCACAACAAATGGACATCTTATCAAATGGCAGTATGGTCTCTCGTGCAATATCCACATCACAGTAAGATACATATTTAGTAAAGGTTAATACAGTGAGAGTATCTGAATGAAGTATTTTGGAGCTGCAGAGGTTATTCTACTTAAACACAAACTATTGTTTGGTACAGATCCTCTTAATCCATCCCTTCAATGTTGTGAATTATAACACGATTGAAATAAATAATCGCTATTAGTTCCTTTTTTAAAGAAGAAACCAACACCTTTCAGTCAGTTTAAAATAACTTTGGTTTGTCACTACTTTAAAGTAATGACTGTTTACTTATGACTTATATTTGAGTTAGAAACCAAAATAATAATCTAAAATAAAAATCCTTAAAGGTAGGGTAGGTAAGTTTGAGAAACCAGCTCGAGATCGCTAGAATTTGAAAATACACAACCGGAGAAAATCTGCCACTTCCTTACAGAGCCCCTCCTCCAACACACACGAACGCGCACATGACCAATGAGGGCACGAGATAAGTTTGTGCACAGATGGAAGGCTGACAGGCAGGTAGGCCATCCAGTTATTTTAGCCGGGCCGGCTCAGATGATTGGTCGTGCTTTTCACAGTACTACAGCTTCCACAGATGATATTTATTTATGGATTTTTTGTCAAAGCACTTCAGATATTCATTGCTATCGGGATGTTAAGAGAACAAAAAGTGTATCTCGAGCCGGTTTCTCAAACTTACCTACCCCACCTTTAAGGTCCACCGCTAGAATATAAACTGTCTGCATCACAGGCAGTATGAGAAGAATAAAGAGCTTTTGAAAAGTCTATCTCTGTACATTGCAAGTATTCTATTCATGTACTTGTATTACTTGTTCTACAGTTCTCTTAAATAGTCGGTAGTATTTTTGCTTCAGTTGACTAAGATTCCTTTATTCCATTACTCATCTTATAGGCTTTTTCATGCTGAATGACTCGTTTCCAAGAAATGTCTGAAACACATCTCAGATCCAACACTTTAATGCATCAATAAGTATAATCAGAACATACAATACATATTATTCTGACATGCAGAGGTGGGAGAAGTACTCAGATCTTGTACTTGAGTAACAGTAGAAGTACTCAGATCTTGTACTTGAGTAACAGTAGAAGTACTCAGATCTTGTTCTTGAGTAAGAGTAGAAGTACTCAGATCTTGTTCTTGAGTAAAAGTAGAAGTACTCAGATCTTGTACTAGAGTAAAAGTAGAAGTACTCAGATCTTGTACTTGAGTAAAAGTAGAAGTACTCAGATCTTGTACTTGAGTAAAAGTAGAAGTACTCAGATCTTGTACTTGAGTAAAAGTAGAAGTACTCAGATCTTGTACTTGAGTAAAAGTAGAAGTACTCAGATCTTGTACTTGAGTAAAAGTAGAAGTACTCAGATCTTGTACTTGAGTAAAAGTAGAAGTACTCAGATCTTGTACTTGAGTAAAAGTAGAAGTACTCAGATATTGTACTAGAGTAGAAGTAGAAGTACTCAGATATTGTACTAGAGTAGAAGTAGAAGTACTCAGATCTTGTACTTGAGTAAAAGTACATGATCAGAGTACTTCTCCTCTGCACAGTGACCTGAAGCAGTGTCTGTTGGACAGGACTGAATCCATACTGAGTTTAAACTGAGTTTTAAAGTGGAAGAAAGTCCCTCTAAACTCCAGCCAACACTCCGTCTCTGGTGCACATTAAATATGAGTTAAATCGGATAAAACCAGGATAAAAAAAGGCGCTTTTTCTATCCCAGTTTAAACCTCTCCCTGTTAATTAAATCCCTGCTTAACTCCGCTGCAGAACACTGGCTTTTGAACTCAGAAACATGTACAGTTTGTTCAAGATGTATACAAGTATTTATTTAAACATGCTCTTTGCTCACCGAGGTCTTCGTCCTGCCCGTTCATTTCTCTTCTGCTTTTTACGGTGAAAAACCTCTGTAATGTAAATGTGAGGAAAAAAAGGTGCCGCTTCCGGTCCTGGTTTTTCATAATAAAAGCATGCTGTTTTTCAGTGTTATGGGTGTACTGTTACTCAGGCAAATGATCTCAAAATGTCTTCCACTTGTTTTTAAGGACTTGGCATCTCAAAATAATGACTACATTTCTCAAAGTAATGACTTAGAATCTAAAAAAGTATGAAGTAGTACGTACAAATAATGACTTTGTATCTTAAAGTGGACCTATTATGCTATATTGGAAAAATATATTCTATACAAAACATGTCTGTGAAGTTTTTTGCTTAAAATACCAAACAGTTCCTTAGCTTTAAAAAAAAAAAAAAGAGGAGGCGGAGCTAATGCCTGATCAGAATTCTACCGGAGATAAAGTTAAATTCTGCTGTGATAAAACGCCATCCTGTTCTAAACCACATCAAGGATTATATCTGAAGCAGTATGGAGCTCAAATGCTTTTTCTCTTGCGGGTTTATCACAAGGTGAGTTCCTTTTTTTATTTCCTGCTTTTTAAACACATGTGCTCTCCAGTACAGGTTAGCTCTGAGTGTTAGCAAGGCTTGCTAATGTAAACAAAGACCAGATTACGTCCAAAGCACGTCAGGCATTGTTTCTGATAGCAATTTTCTGTGGGTCCGCCCCCGATTTGACGTCAGATCGGCAGCAAATCTGTATCCGCTCGTTGTACCCCTGTTTTTAAAAGATTTGGGTATGGAGGAAAAGAGAGAGGGTTTTATTTTCTGACGCTGCGTGAGTTCCCCGACACACCGGGGACACATATTGATGAATAAAAGACATCACAAAGTGCATTTTGCATGATAGGTCCCCTTTAAATTAATAACTTAGAATCTCAATAATGACTTTACATGTCAAAGTAATTACTTTTTATCCTAAAATATTGACTTATTATCTCAAAAAAATGACTGAATTTACATTAGTACGTAGAAATAATACCTCAGTATCCGAAAATATTGACTAAGTATTACAAAAATGAGTTGTCATCTCAATATAATACATTAGTGTCTACAACTAAACACGTAGTATCTCAAAATTATGACTAAGCGCCGTAAAGTTATAACGATTTCTCCAACTAATTACTTAATATCTCAAAATAAAGACTAACTTTCCCCACGTGATGACGAAGGGTCTCAACGATAATAAAGTAGTATGTCAAAAATAATGACTAAGTATCTTAAAATAATGACTTAGTATATTAAAATAATGGCAAAATATTTAAAAATAATAACTAAGTATCTTAAAATAATGAATTACGGCCCGTCCACATGACAGCGTGCGTTGCTTCAACGGAGACGCTTCCCATTCACTTTGAATGGGGTGACGTCACGCTTTGCCGAACTGCATTGTGGTTCCGTTGCTTCGCTTTGCCTCCGTTGCTCGCGCTGAAAGTTGAGAAAAGTTCAACTTTTTAAGCATTGACGGAAGCGCCAGCCAATCAAATCATATGCCAGTACAAGCTCTAGCCAATCAAACCGCGTGCTTGTGTCTCCGGGGCGGGAGATTAATGTAATTGGTTGTTGGTCCACACCAGACACGCCCACCTTCAAGCTTCAACGCAGTATCTTAAAATATTGACTAATGGCGCGTTTCCACTACACGGCCTCGCTCGGCCTCGCTCGGTATGGCTGGGCCTCGTTAGGACTGGCTCACTTTATGGCGCATTTCCATTACAGTTTAGGAACTGGGGTAGTATCTATAGTAACGCAGTGTAGGCGGAGCCGTGACGTCATCTTCAATGAGAACCCCAGAAAAAACAACACAGCCGTTAGCTGTTAGCACTCAGAGCTCACAGCTCCTCATATCTGTTCAGAAACTAGACAGAAGTTAAACAAGTACAAACCACAGACTGCCTGTGTCATGGTGAATACAGTCGCTGGTTTATTTATGTCTGTATAGGCCGTTGTTGTGAGTGTGGACGGTCGGAGCATATACTGCGTTAGCTTAGCCAATCTCCATTTAGAAAACACGCATTTTAAAAGGTTTTTCTCCTGCCGTCTGTCTGCAGACTTGACAAAGCATTAATTCATGGTTTCTACTAACTGGTATCAGTATGTTGTTACTTCGGCATCATTTTGAAACGTGTATTACAATTAAATCACGGTCATGTCCATCTTGTTGTAGTTGTAGCCCCCTTGCCAGCGACGCTCTCTCTAGTTTAGCATACTCAGCCCGACTCAGCCTCGTTGTCTCTGGCCCTAGACCCACGATTTGATGAGGCCAGAAAAACTGTGAATTAGGACCCGCCGGCCAGTACTAGGCCAAGTGGAAACGCAACCAAAAACGGGCCGCTGACGTCACAGCCCTCTTAAACCGGGCTGCGCGCTGTAGTGGAAACGCGCCATTAGTGTCTCAAATGAATGACTAAATATCTCAAAATAACGACTTTGTATCTTCAAATAATGACTTCCCGACGTAATGACTGAGTATGTCAAAACAATAAAATAGTACGTAAAAAGAATAACTAAGTATCTCAAAGTAATGACTAACATCACAATAAATATAGAAATAAAAGACTGAACATTGGTTCTTGAGGTTTGTTGGAGTGTTATCATCAAGTAATAATAATAATACATTTGATTTATATAGCGCTTTTCCTGGTGCTCAAAGCGCGTAGAAGTACTCAGATTTTAGTAGCAATAATACATTATAAAAATACTCTCTTACCAAATAAAAGTCCTGCATTCGACATCTCCCTTAACATAGAGATTTTTCCCTTTTGTTTTATTTTGAAGGCAGGATGTGTGAACTTCCGGTCTCGCCTGTGTTATTATGTCTCAGTGGCCGCGCCCACACTCCTTACATTCACTCCCTATGTATACAGAGCACTTTTAAACCTTGCAGCTCTCTCAGAAAACATTTTTCCTGACATTTGACACTTTGATTTATTTTATTAGTAAAAGTATAAACACAACAGATTAATTAAACTACTGATCCTCCGATTAATAAACATCCACCTATCAGCTGAGCCACAGCACATGGTGACATCTCTCAAAACCAGAGGTGTAAAGTACATTTACTCAAGTACTGTACTTAAGTACTATTTTGAGAGACTTGTAATTTACTTGAGTATTTCCATGTTATGCTACGGTGTACTTCCACTACAGTTCAGAGGTAAATGGTGTACTTTTACTTCACTACATGTATTTAATACCTTTAGTTACTTTACAGATCTGGATGAATGATGAGAAATATAATCAAGTGTTAAATCACTTGTTTCTCTTTTGAAGCCAGGAAAAGGCTAGTCACTGTGACCTTTTTACCTGTGCTGGACTATGGTGATTTGATCTATATGAATGCACCTGCCCATTGCCTGGAAAGGTTAGATGCCGCCTATCACAGTGCTCTGAGATTTGTTATAACTGTAAAGCACTTACTCATCACTGTACCCTGTATGCCAAGGCAGGTCTGCCTTCACTTACTGGTCGGAGGCTCAGTCATTGGTACATATTCATATATAAAGTCATGCTGGGTAAACTCCCAACTTATATGCTCTTTGATCTCACAGAGAGTGGCAAGTAGCTATTGCCTGAGATCCCAGGATGTGTTTTTATTACATGTGCTCGGACTGTTTTAGGTACTAAAGCTTTTATGTGCACTGCTCCTCTAGCTTGGAACACTATGCAATTTTTTTTTAAACTGAGCATTTTGATTCCCTTGCATCATTTTAAAGCACGGCTGGATGAAATGTTATTAGATATCATTGTGAATAGGTTGCTAATTTATACCCCTGTAATTATGTTGTGATGTCCTTTTTGTTTTCTGTTGTTTTTATGTGTAACTAATGTACCGCAGGTCTCCCTTGAAAAAGAGATTGTTGATCTCAATGGGATTTTCACCTGGTTAAATAAAGGCTACAAACAAATCAGACTTTAGTTCCACCTGGAGTAAATCCACAAGCTACCCTGCAGTATACAAAGTCATTCAAACTAGCTGCACCTTTACCAGCTTTGAGAACACTTTCATGATCAATCATTATAAAACATATCATATATATTATTCTGAAATGGACCAATCTGCACAATGACTACTTTTACTGTCGCTACTTTCACTATATTTAGATGAGAATACTTTTCTACTTTCACTTGAGGAACATTTTGAATGCAGGACTTTTACTGTAACAGAGTATTCCTACACTCTGGTACTTCTACTTTTACTCAAGTACAAGACCTGAGTACTTCTACTTTAACTGAAGTACAAGATTTGAGTACTTGTACTTTTACTAAATCGGATATTAAAACTTTTTTTTTACAACTAAAATGTATTTTTTACTATCGGTCACATTCCCAAAAATGTGTTCTCGTGTTGCTCTAATCTTCTTCCGTAAAAACAACAACCTATTTCTGTCTATTTTTACTATTATTACATATTTTCCCATTTTTATTCCCAGGCCCTCGAACGCAGCCTGGCGTCACGTGACCCGGCAGTGACGTCACGTGTCTTCTCATAGCAACAACACTGTTAGCTGTTGTTCATCTCGAAACTCATTTCTCACGCAGAAATACTCAAATACTGAAAATGGTAAGAAGCTAATACTGCTTTGTAGTGTATTTAATAATCCTGCATATATGTCTGCTGTCACTGTTGTGAAATGATAGTGTTATAACAGGGATTTTAATAAAGTGCTAACTAACTAGCTTAATTATGCTAGCCGGGCGTTGTCTTCTAGCTCGATACAATCGGCTAGCTTTTAGTTTAGTTTTGTTCTTGTTATTACCTGGGAGTTTAATAACCCATACACCTGTATTAAAAGATGCTAACTCATGTCCCCAGGCTGAAGTGGAGGAAACTCTGAAGAGGATCCAGACCCAGAAAGGAGTGCAGGGGATTATCATCGTCAATTCAGAAGGTACAGACCATCAACCCTTATATAGGTTATCACCTGTATATATTAGTGATGTGTCGGTCGCGAACGAGCCGATTCTTTTGAACGGCTCTTTGGTACGAACGAGGGGAACCGAGTCCTCCTTGGTGAGAGCCGTTCTTGTTATCGTTCAATCGTTGGTCCGCACTCACTGCCTGCCAAAATCCACTCACCTTTTAAAAAGCTTGATTTTGTTCCCCAAACGTATTCTGTGAAGACCCGCCCCTACTCTGATTGGTAGGTTTCAGCACGAGGAGTTAGGTGGGGTTGATCTTAACGGAATACGCGAGAGAGAGAAGTCATAACAAGTGGTACAGGACAGGTAGATGATGTGTTTTTCGGATGGAAAATGAGCCAAACGCGAAAACGCAGCAGCATTTGGATTCACTTCAACCAAAACCCAGGCAGTGATAAAGCGTACCATTTGTAAAGGCAAAATATCCTTTAAAGCAGGGTCAACAAATAATCTCCATCGCCACTTAAAAACACACTATCTAATATTAAGAGTTGCATGAATTTCATTCAAGGCAAGGCAACTTTATTTACTTAACACATACAGAGGGTAAATTCAAAGTACATTCACTGACATGATGACATGGATATGGCGCCACCTTGTGTCATGTTTACAATGCCGATTATTGACATTAGGTCTGGCAATGCAGTCAATCATTATCCTGGTGATTATTTCGCAGATAAACCTAGTAACCCCGCCCCCTTTTTAAAAACGGCTCTTTTGAACGGCTCTTTGAAAGGAACGGAGCCATAAGATCCGGCTCCCTTCAAAGAGCCATAATTCCCATCACTAGTATATATACAGTCTATGGTTATCACCAGTTATCAGCTATCGCATTATATTATGGAAAATTAACTGTTTGCATTAATACACCACTAGTACACCTTCATTAAACCCATATACCCATATCAGACCCACATTCAGCCATTTAACAGCAATATGAACCCCATATTACACTGTTTTTAACCCCATATTGCACTGTTTTTACCCCCATATTGCACTGTTTTTACCCCCATATTACACTGTTTTTACCCCCATATTACACTGTTTTTACCCCCATATTACACTGTTTTTACCCCCATATTGCACTGTTTTTACCCCCATATTACACTGTTTTTACCCCCATATTGCACTGTTTTTACCCCCATATTACACTGTTTTTATACTGATATTAATAGTGATGGCGAGATGAAGCCTTATGAAGCTTTGAAGCTTTCCAGCCAATTTGTTCGCAAAAGGGTTCATCTCATGAGGCTTCATCATGGGCTTCATCTGAACACCAACGCCCCCTGCTGGTCAAAGTGTGTAAAACAGGCAGATTGGACATCTCAATAGTGTGCTGTATCTCATACCGAGTTCCCAATGAGTAAAGCCTTAGAATAACTCTAAACAACGAACATTAAATCATATTTTCATGTTAACAATATTGTATTTATTCCAGTTTAATGATTGTGATTGAAAAGCCTAAGGAGGCTGGTAAACATTGCAAAGAGGGATTTGTATTCCTTAATAATATTCGTAAACGTAACCATGTTGTAGCCTGAGAAAGGCTAAACCGTATCAAAGAATACATTTATTAACTAAATTATCTCATTTAGCTGTAGCTTTTATAAACAACAAAAAATACGTATTGTTCAGTCGTTAAACCATACATTTATTTATGCTTGTATTTATTTATGACATGTTCTGACCTCTATATGAGTCTCTCTTAATCCCATCGTGTCACCGGGCCCGGGTACAGGAGGGGTAATATCGTTCTTATTATACATCCATGGGTAATATGAGCGTTGTGGTTCAACCGATCTGAATCGCTTCCTGAAGCAGTCACGTGGTATCGACAGGCAGCGAGGCTTCGTTTGTCATCGGTGACGTCACTGGCCCAAAACAATACAAGCCTCGATACAAGCTTCACAAAAAGCTTCAGGGATTACTCGACACACGCTCCGAAGCCTCGGCGCAATACGTAACATCACTAGATATTACTCTGTTATTAGACCCATATTACTCTGTTATTAGACCCATATAACACTGTTATTGAACCCATATATCACACCCATATTATACCAGTGTCACAGCCCTGTGACCCTTTTATTACACCTATATTGCAGCGTTTTCAGACCGTATTACACCGTGATTCCACCCATTTTGTAGGTCCTGTCAAATGACTGTATCCCCCCGGGATAGAGAACCATTTAAGGGATAAAAAACACATTTTTTTATATCTTGCTTGTGTCTCCTGCAGATCGTAATGGCTAGAACCCAATGTCATTGTTTCCTTACCAGCCATAACACCTAGCATTTATGTTTATTCATCAGAATACCTTTATTAGTCCCACAGAGGGGACATGCACATTTGTTACAGCAGAAAATAGCCAAAGACAGCTTCATGTTAACTAAGAAGCATGCGTACAAAAAGACAATTATACAAAATACACATCTGTAACAGTTCTGAAGATTTAGCAGCCAGGTATATATTGCACAGTAATTATATATATATATTGCACATAACACCACCCATTTATGTTTATTCATCAGCCACAATGATGAATTACTTCAGTGATACTCACTCCTATCTAGACATTAATCCAGATCTTTTTGAAGAAGAGGTTACAGATAGACATTTTAATTCTTTGCATATGTCCAGACTAAAACCAGCAGACTCAGGGACAGTTTCATCCCACAGGCCATAAGACTATTAAACACCTGAACTCTGTGAAGAACATCCATAACATTCATCTGGCTTCTACTTATATAAATCAATATTCTAATTCAGGGATGGGCAAATGGCGACCCTCAGATTAATTTATAAACAACGTAATTATTTATTTTTTTAAACTTGTTTTTACGTGTAGTACTGATACCGTCCACTAGACTCCTAGTTACGTTGCGAGCTGCGAGAAGAAGCACCGGCTGTTGTTGTGCCTGCTGTGACGTTAAGTTACCGCTTGCCTTTACAAGCTTCAAAGTTGTATTTATCATCTGAATTTGGCGAAACAAGTTTAATATTCTAAAAACCAAGACTTTGTTTATTTGAAATCAGATGAAAGCAAACTGTCACGGACCCTGCCGTGTTATCTATGATTACTATATGCTTTTCATTCATAATGTCAGCGGGAGGGAGGGGGAGCGGCGCTGAGGAACAGCAGAGAGTTGACAGGTGTCTGTGTGACACTCCCCTTGTTGTGCGTCAGCAGAGGCTACAAGTCTCAAGTTAGACGACTAATGTCTGGGGTTAGTGTTCATGACTTCATGTTTATGTCATCTTAATGGTTCATCTTGATGAACACACATTTTCTGTGCTTTCCAATTGTTTAAAATAGTTTTATTCCACTGTTAACTAACCTGTTCAATACAAACATGCCACTTGTAAACATTAAATAACATTTCTGTGAAGTGATATTTGTTTAGTGAGCTCATTAGAGGATGTTCCCTGAACGATTGTAAAATGTCAATGAAGATGTCAGACTTAGTACATTTGTTAATAATTACATACAATACATGGAATTTGTGTGTGTGTGTGTGTGTGTGTGATCCAAGTGAATCTGCGGCCCCCTGGTGGCCAGTACATACATGATGTGGCCCCCCACCACCATCCAAGTTGCCCGTCCCTGCTCTAATTACTTGTATACAGACTATTCTGCACAACTTCTATTATATTCTATTGTATTGTATTTACTTGCACTATAATCTGTGTTGCTCTGTTGGAGGAGGAGCCTGTGACCTCAGATGTTCATCATCACAACTGAACTGTAGCTATGTACACATGACACTAAAAGCCTTGAATCCTTCAATGTGTAAATGAACTCTTCTCCCTCAGGAATCCCCGTGAAGACGACTCTGGACAACGCGAGCACGGTGCAGTACGCAGGGCTGATCCACCAGCTGGTGATGAAGGCCAGGAGCACGGTGCGAGACATCGACCCGCAGAACGACCTCACCTTCCTGCGCATCCGCTCCAAGAAGAACGAGATCATGGTCGCTCCAGGTGAGGCATGGGCATTCAGCAGATTGTATTCAGATGCTGGTTCCTAGAGTGAGAACAGAACTGGGTAAACAAGCTTTGAAATATGCTGCCCCTTCTGCCTGGAACAAAGTACAGAAGGAGCTGAAACTGTCAGATGTGATGACTTTGGGGGGAGTCCATCTTAAAGGACAGAGAACACGAACCCATTGGTCGATGTGATTGCTCTTATAATTGAAGTCGTTTTTAAATTGTGCCAGTTTTGAATGTTTTATAATAGTTTCTTTTATTTGCATATTGACTGGTTAATGTGCCGTTTCGTTAGTGTTCCTGTATTCCTCTGCCTGTATTGTGTTGTGGTCATTTGTTGTAACTTTGTTCATGGGGCGGAGTGGCGCAGCGGGCTGTGCGTTTGATCATCAGATCAAGGGGGCGTTGGGGAACTCCAGTTCGAAACCCGCTCCCGTCAGGCCGTTGTGTCCTTGGGCAAGACACTTCACCCAAATTTGCTCCTGTGGGTATTGTCCACAGTACATGTATGATACTAATGTGTACTTGTAAAGCGCCTTGATGACTTTGAGGTGTGAAGATGGGCGGTGTGGCGCAGTGGGCTGTGCATTGATCATCAGATCAAGGGGTCTGTAAAGCCGTTGTGTCCTTGGGCAAGACACTTCACCTGAACTTGTTTCTGTGGGTATTGTCCACAGTTCATGAGCGTTACATGTATGTATGTGTAATGTGTATCTGTAAAGCGCTTTGGGTCATGGAAAAAGCGCTATAATAAATATAAGGAATTATTATTATTATTATTCATGCTGCCCTCTTGGCCAGGGCGCTCTTGGAAAATAGATTTTAATCTCAATGAGACTTTTTAGCTGGTTGAATAAAAATGTAATTCAATTTTAAAAAAGAGCATCAGAAACAGGTTTATTAGCAGAAGTTGACTTGGTGTCATACAAGTACAATTTAAAAACGCAGATAGAGAACTAGAAAAATAGTAAATAAATATTGTAAAATATAAAAGTATTTACTGAGAAATGGAATGGAATAAAATATGGAGTAATAATCGGCAGTAAGATGAGATGGAACTTTATTGATCCCCGTGGGGAAATTCAGGCGTTAATAGCAGCAACGGGGTCAGAGTAAAAAACAGGATTCACAAAAGGTCAAGATAAAATAGAATACAAATCAAAATAATAATAATAATAATAATAATAATAATAATACAGCAGTAACTATTCAAACACAATATCACAAAAGAACACCCGACAGGCTTCGCGTCGAGCTCCTGATCCGCCTGTCAGGTGTTCTTTTCCCCATAATGACCGCCTCGCTGCACATTAGCCCTTTCTTATTCCATTCCTTGCACACTTCATGTGAACTGGGTTTTTCTAGAAATATATAGAATGAGTACTGTGGCCGTGATATTATTTATAAGATATAGAAATTCTCTGGAGAAACGTGACGTAAACAACAACAACAACAACGTGACGTCGGAGCTCCGTAATAACAAAGCTGTCTGTTTGATGCTCACATTTCTGGAGGAATTGCACCGTTTTTGACGAACAGAAATATTGTTTTCTGGCATCACTTTTTTTTGTCAATTTATTGAACATGTCAGAAACAAAACATACAACAATATTAATTTTTTTACTCATAATAATAATTATAACAAAGTACAAAAAAAAAAAGGGGTAAGAAGAAGTCCCCCCCCCCTCTAGCGTACATTTTACTTGTAAATAAAATATTAGGTCATCGTCGTCAGCGACATGTTTTTTTTACAAAACAATCAACTTTTACAATTACAAGAAATAACAAATATGATTTGTACAGGTCCTGCTCATAACCATTCATGATTTGGCTTCTAAATAATAGTTTCAGTTTAGATAGACTTGTACAATATCTCAGTGCATCATTACAGTTATTCCACTTTTGATGTGATGCCAATGAAGTTTTGAATTTGTTCCTTTAACATTTTACGGGGAAAATCTGCATTTTGTGCAGCTGTGGCTCAGTGGATAGTGTGCTGGACTTCGAATCAGGGGGTAGCAAGTTCGAGTCCCACTGCAGTCAGCATGTCGTTGTGTCCCTGGGCAAGACACTTCAGCCCAAATTGTTCCTATGGGGATTGCCCACAGTACTGAATGTATGTAAGCGTCTAACAAATGACATGTCATGTAATTTTGGTTTGAGGTTTGAATTTTGGTTTTATTTGTCAGACAGTGTACAGATTTGTATCTTTCGCGGTCAACCTGTATATATTTTTACTATTTAGTTCCGTTTCATTTTCTATTTTGAGACGTTTTGCACTTTTTTGAACAATACATTGAAACAGTTTATCCTTTGTCTTCGCAGATAAGGACTATTTCCTGATCGTGATCCAGAACCCCTCGGACTGAAAAAGACGGAGCTGCTTCCCGAACTCATTTCCCTCTCTCTCATATTTAAATGTAAAACAGCCAAACATTTCCTTTGTCCCGTTATGAATGAAAAGAACCAGGACGTTTCTAAGCACTTGCTGTACCAGGAAGTGATGATTTCAAGGTTAATGAAATCACTCCGCAGGCTCATTTCTTTTCCCATGTTTAATCCATTCCAGGTCTGCTCTCTATGCATACTGTGTGTGTTTTGAAGGTATTTCAGCACACGGTGAGAAGTGCACACATGCAAGGAAATGCAGATAGGGAGCAGTGCGTTAAAGCCCGCTCAGTGTAGAGGAGAGACGGCAGCACATCTTCAGGAGGGTTTGCAATTCCACCTTTATCAAAAAAAACTAAAGACCGGGATTGTTATTTATTGTTTTGTTGGCTAAAAAGATGTTGAAGTGCAGCATTTCAGTGGTGAGCGGCGAACAACACTACACACCTTTCTGCTCTGCCATGGCACGCGTCTGATGGTTATTTTTATCAAATTAAAAAAAGTCAAAAATTGTTGGTTTTTTGTTGTGTTTTTGCCTTTTTTTATTACATTTTTTTTATTTTAAGATTTGATACGTTTAATTCAAGACAACATAAAAATATGTAAAGAAACATAAGAATATAACGTAAACAAACCACTTTATTAAGCGCTTTGAGCACCAGGAAAAGCGCTATATAAATAACATGTAATATTATTATTAAGACAGCCACTCAGTCACCTTAATTTCCCCTCTTGTGTGTATCAATTGTTTGTTTTTCTGAGTATGGTGAGTCCCCTTTTTCCAACATATATACATTTAATCACCCGCTCCCGAGACCACATCACTCCCATCCTCCAGAACCTCCACTGGCTCCCCGTCCGTCAAATAATCGACTTCAAAGTCCTCCTGATTACTTACAAAGCCCTCAACAATCAGCCCCCCCCCCACCTCACAGACCTGCTGCACCACCACACCCCTTCCCCCACCTCACAGACCTGCTGCACCACCACACCCCTTCCCCCTACCTCACAGACCTGCTGCACCACCACACCCCTTCCCCCTCCCTCACAGACCTGCTGCACCACCACACCCCTTCCCCCACCTCACAGACCTGCTGCACCACCACACCCCTTCCCCCTACCTCACAGACCTGCTGCACCACCAACACCCCTTCCCCCTACCTCACAGACCTGCTGCACCACCACACCCCTTCCCCCTCCCTCACAGACCTGCTGCACCACCACACCCCTTCCCCCTCCCTCACAGACCTGCTGCACCACCAACACCCCTTCCCGCTGCCTCCGCTCATCAGAAGCCAACCTCCTATCCATCCCCACCCGCATCAAGCACCGGACCTGGGGGGACAGAGCCTTCTCCGTCGTTGCCCCCTCCCTCTGGAACTCACTCCCACAACCCATCAGAGACTGCCCTGACCTCACCACCTTCAAAACACTCACCTCTTCAATCTGGCTTTTAATGTGTTTTTGTATTGCTTGATTTTAATTTGACTTTAACTATATTTATTTGTTCTTTTCTTTTCATTATCTTTGTAAAGCGACTTTGAGCACCTGTACAAGCGCTAACAAAATAAATCTATTATTATTATTATTAATCCAAAAAATAAAATAATTAATTAGTGTACGTCCCCTTTAAATCCAGCGGATGACGTCACCGCCTCCGTTTACTCGCTTTGTTTCTCTGGATCATCTGTTTTTCAGAGACTGAGAGCGACGAGCAGAGAGAGCATCACACCGAGAGAAACACGTCCTCTTGCTGCTTTATTCTGCTCTTGTCTTATAATATATACATATATATACATCTAATAACTGTGTGAACACAACGAGAGAGATGCCGTCCGACAGACCCTTCAAGCAGAGGAGGACATTCGGTAAGAAAAACACCTATACGGCTGTTAGCATGTTAGCCGGCCTGCTAGCTAGCTACCGAGCTAATCTGTTGACAAAGTAAAAAATTATCTGTTGACAAGTGAAGCTGATTGTTGTTATGATAAATAACTAGATACATAGATAGATACTTTATTCAACCCAAGTTGGGAAATTAACATAAGAACACTCTTAATATACTGAACATATCAACATAGCTCTTTAAAACACATTTTAAATAGCCTGTAGGGGTGTCAACTATTATTTTTTAATGCTTAAAATGTCATTTTATCTAACTAACTTTAACTCAAATAAAGACAAATACGTACTAGATAGCAGAGTAGAAGCCTTTAAATAGGTACATCTATTATTAAGGTTTGAGATACTATAACAAATATGTATTATGTCACATAAAGATGAATATGTCTGTTGCATATTAGCTTGAATGTTGTGTTATGTTAGCTGATTTAAAACACATTTTAATATATTTTATAATCCTGTGAGTTTCACGTTATGAGAGCTGTTATATTTGAAAGCTTTTTTTAGTAGTAATTAAGAGTGAAAAATAACATTTTGTGTAACTTAATGAAGATAAACAGCAGCATGTTTCCCTGGTTAGCCGGCCTGCTAGCCACCGAGCTAATCTGTTGACAGTCCTTCATGTTGCTGTAGCTGTTCAGCAGCTGCTTCTAATTCAGGTTTCTTACATCAATATGAGAAGCTTGTGGATGAGAAGTTAACCCTACATAGGCACATATACATATCTATAAATTATATGATTTGATTCTTTCTTCATTACACCCATATTGCACATGAATTACACCATATTACATGTTTATACACCCATACTACACATTAATATACCCATATTACACATTAATTACATGTTTATACACCCATACTACACATTAATATACCCATATTACACATTAATTAGACGTTTATACACCCATATTACACATTACACCCATATTAAATGTAAATAGACCAACATTACACATGAATACACCCATATTACATGTTAATAGACCCATACTACACATGAATACACCCATATACTATTCCTTTCACCCTTATTACCCTTATCCCCCAGGATACAGAGACCATTAAAGGGTTAGCATAACAGTTATTGTTTAAAGTGCTAATCCAGAGTGACACATACGATTAAATCTAACTCATTGACAACAAACAGCCGGTATCTTTTCTGTGATCTCTTTTGGCTTCTGATGTTAAAAGGCCATCTGGGTCACATTAGCCTGTTAGCATTGACTGGTACAGCTAGCTAGTCTAAGCTAACGGTACACAGAGTGTTTGCTCAAAAGGAAAACAACTTGTGCTGACACGTTATCCCAGTGCACGTGCTCTCTGATTTATGATGTCACCTGACACCAAAACACGGCCCTGTGTTCAGAGGGGAGGAGCCAGGGCTGTTGCATCACCTGCTGAATACAGGACCACGTGGAGGAGTACTCGGAGCATGTACTTTAGTAAAGTTAGAAGTACTCAGAGCATGTACTTTAGTAGAAGTACAAGTACTCAGAGCATGTACTTTAGTAAAGTTAGAAGTACTCAGAGCATGTACTTTAGTAGAAGTACAAGTACTCAGAGTATGTACTTTAGTAGAAGTACAAGTACTCAGAGCATGTACTTTAGTAAAGTTAGAAGTACTCAGAGAATGTACTTTAGTAGAAGTACAAGTACTCAGAGCATGTACTTTAGTAGAAGTACAAGTAATCAGAGCATGTACTTTAGTAAAGGTAGAAGTACTCAGAGCATGTACTTTAGTAGAAGTACAAGTACTCAGAGCATGTACTTTAGTAAAGGTAGAAGTACTCAGAGCATGTACTTTAGTAGAAGTACAAGTACTCAGAGCATGTACTTTAGTAGAAGTACAAGTACTCAGAACATGTACTTTAGTAAAGGTAGAAGTACTCAGAGCATGTACTTTAGTAGAAGTACAAGTACTCAGAGCATGTACTTTAGTAGAAGTACAAGTACTCAGAACATGTACTTTAGTAAAGGTAGAAGTACTCAGAGCATGTACTTTAGTAGAAGTACAAGTACTCAGAGCATGTACTTTAGTAGAAGTACAAGTACTCAGAGCATGTACTTTAGTAGAAGTACAAGTACTCAGATCTTGAGTAAAAGTAGAAGTACTCAGATCTTGTACTTGAGTAAAAGTAGAAGTACTCAGATCTTGTACTTGAGTAAAAGTAGAAGTATTCAGATCTTGTACTTGAGTAAAAGTAGAAGTACTCAGATCTTGTACTTTAGTAAAAGTAGAAGTACTCAGACCTTGTACTTGAGTAAAAGTAGAAGTACTCAGATCTTGTACTTGAGTAAAAGTAGAAGTACTCAGATCTTGTACTTGAGTAAAAGTAGAAGTATTCAGATCTTGTACTTTAGTAAAAGTAGAAGTATTCAGATCTTGTACTTGAGTAAAAGTAGAAGTACTCAGATCTTGTACTTGAGTAAAAGTAGAAGTATTCAGATCTTGTACTTTAGTGAAAGTAGAAGTATTCAGATCTTGTACTTGAGTAAAAGTAGAAGTACTCAGATCTTGTACTTGAGTAAAAGTAGAAGTACCCAGATCTTGTACTTGAGTAAAAGTAGAAGTACTTTATGAGCCTATCAAAGTATTTTTAAAGACTAGTCGTTGCAGACCAATCGCTGTAATATATGATCTAATACAGGAAACTTACGGTGCTTTTTTTGTCTTAGTTCAAAGTTGAAACCCCTCTTTCTTGATAGCAGGAACAACAGAGCCTGTCCTGATGATAGTAATGTGAGGATATTGACTTTAGTGATTTAAAGTCAGGAAGGGAACTGGATATCCAATACAAGACAGTCCTGTTGGAGTATCTCCTTTGTGAGCTTCTAAATGAGATCCTGCCTGACCCCGCAGTCTCTTCTGAAAGAAAGATCTTTATTCTGGATAAAAGCACCGTCTCTTCTCCTGGGAAAACATCCGCAGACAGAAAGACAAAGAAACCATTCACCCGTCTCTGAGCGTTAAACGCAGCCTGTGTTAACGCCCCTTTTCCTCAAATAGAGATACTCTAACATTACAGAGAGCAGTTCAATAAGAGAGGAGGGAGAAAGATAGCCAAGTGAAAGAGGGGAAGGCTCAGAGATCAGAGAAATCAGAAGTTAAGTGAGGACACATAGAAACAAACCACCAGACATGTTTGCATCGTTACTACCAAGAACAGCCCGTAGAAAGACACACTATCCCTGGTTATTAGGGAGGATTTGTGCGGCAATTTCAATATTAAAAGCATTTTTGTGTGCGTTTAAGATAAGTTAAGATAAGAAGTACTTTATTGATCAATTTGGGAGCATAAAAAGACAAGGCATCAGAGAAGTTACAAGACTAGAAATAAACAATCCAAAATGTAAACATCTCAAATAGAAATAAAATAGCATTAAAAAAAGTAGAAAATATACAAGTTTAAAGATACGTTTACAAGACCTGGTTTTGATAATGGAGGATTTGCACTGCAATTTCAATATTAAAAGCATTTTTGTGTGTTTGTGGCTCAATTTAGAATCGTAGATTATAGAAAACCTCTATCTTATTAAAGCTCAGTTATACATCGATATTATAGCCTTATCAGTGTATAAGACGAGAGGTCATTTTAGTTGTGTTTATTGTCATATGGCAAAAGTTTGTTTTCCGGGTTTTGAAAGTCACTTTTTAAAATTCAGCAGACCTATTTAGTCATTAAATCAACATTACTGTTATTTACAAAAATTAACTTAATTGTGTCGCTTTGGTAAAAGTGATATACATATTGTCTCAATATCGATATTGAGGTATTTGGTTAGAATATTTGGTAATAAGCCTCCATTGGACTACTTTTTTAACGTCCGTAAAAAAGTGACATCGCGATGTTACCTTTCTATTGGCTAGCAGTCCAACACAAGGGGTGGGACATCTCTAAGCGGTTGACCAATCACAACAGAGCTGGCAGAGAACAGGCAGTATGAGAAAAATAAAGAGCTTTTTGAACATTAAAGCATGGAGACATGTAGAGACACTACATACTGATATACACCTGAACATCAGCAGGAGAGGACTCTTTAAAGTAGAGACACTACATACTGATATACACCTGAACATCAGCAGGAGAGGACTCTTTAAAGTAGAGACACTACATACTGATATACACCTGAACATCAGCAGGAGAGGACTCTTTAAAGTAGAGACACTACATACTGATATACACCTGAACATCAGCAGGAGAGGACTCTTTAAAGTAGAGACACTACATACTGATATACACCTGAACATCAGCAGGAGAGGACTCTTTAAAGTAGAGACACTACATACTGATATACACCTGAACATCAGCAGGAGAGGACTCTTTAAAGTAGAGACACTACATACTGATATACACCTGAACATCAGCAGGAGAGGACTCTTTAAAGTAGAGACACTACATACTGATATACACCTGAACATCAGCAGGAGAGGACTCTTTAAAGTAGAGACACTACATACTGATATACACCTGAACATCAGCAGGAGAGGACTCTTTAAAGTAGAGACACTACATACTGATATACACCTGAACATCAGCAGGAGAGGACTCTTTAAAGTAGAGACACTACATACTGATATACACCTGAACATCAGCAAGGAGAGGACTCTTTAAAGTAGAGACACTACATACTGATATACACCTGAACATCAGCAGAGAGGACTCTTTAAAGTAGAGACACTACATACTGATATACACCTGAACATCAGCAGGAGAGGACTCTTTAAGTAGAGACACTACATACTGA